CCCAGCCAGCCTGGTGGGTCTTTGCACCCCTGCGTGAGGGCACGGCCTCAGACCTGCTCTGTAACTAATTAACCGTGTTACGACAAAGAATTGCACCACTCACAATAGCAATGAGACCCTTGGAGCAGAGTCGCTGGCTGATGGGAGGGAGGGAGCAGCTGTGGTCCGCAGCGGCAGCGCAGGGGGTGCTGGCAGGACCTCAGTGGACTCCGTCCCTCTGCCTGCTGCCGGGTCGGCCACTGGGGCAACGTTTTAAATAGGGGCAACGGAGGGTGTCGTGCTTGGGGACGGCGTGTTGCCGTCGGTGCCCCAGGGCCGGGACAAGGGCCGCTGTCGCTTGTGCTCCCGGGGCTGTTCCCACGTGGCAGCTGGTTAGCGTGGCCTAAGGGATGAGAACACCGGGAAGGATTTTGCCAGGTATTGTCTCCTAACTGATGGTATCCATTCACCCTCATAGAGCCTCGTCTGGTGGTGGGATTCAGCGGCACAACCGCAAGGGCCGCGTGGCTTCTCCGGCCCCTGACCCTCAAAGACGTGCCCTCGGTAGGTCGCACGTCACGTCAGCCCTGTGCGGGTTCCCCAGGCACCTCGGCCGGTGCCGGCACCCAGCTGCACAGCGGAGCCCGTTTGCTGGGGCTGCTGCCCAGCCCTGATCCAAAATCTCCAGTGTAATAAATCCCTCCGGCTCCAGCAAACAACCTTAGAGCTGAGTTCACCTTGGCTCAGAGGCTGACGTGGTGCTGAGTGGTTTCTGTCGGGTCTGCAGTAAAGAAAAAAATAAAGGGTGAAGTGTTCAGACCAGCTTGGGGGAGGAGGGTGAACGAGCCCTTGGGGAATGGGGAAGGGCTGCGTGCAGGGGGCCTTCAAGTTAAAGGTGAGTTATCTTGGGTGGTGAGCCCAGAAGAAAGGGTTTTGTTGGGTGCTCGTTGAGTGGGAAACAAAAGGGCCGGTGAAGCCCAATTTAGCTGTGCACGTGGCTCATGGAAGGACGGCTGGAAATGCACGGAGGCTCCTCTTTTACTGCTCTTGTTAGTCGAGGAGATGTTCAGAGAATGCAAAATCTTTGCAACTTGCTTGTCTTGCTCAGGGCTTGCTACGACATTGATGGATGCCACGACAGATAAGGACCCGCTAGTCCAGGAGCAGATCTACAATGCTTTGTGCTACCTGGGGGAATCCGAGCCGGAGGAGATCCTCAACTCCTGTGATGAGTACCTCCGGCAGCATGACAAGGTAGGGGTCTGCTCTGCTCGCTCCCGGGAATGTCGGCAGGATGAGGGAGGTGACTCGGGGATATTGGCTCTGTTGGGAAGTGAGGGAGAAACCTGGGAGGATCTGGGCTACAAGAGTGGTGGACCAGCTGGCCGAGAAGTCTGGTCCGAGGCGCTGGAGTTGCACAGGTGAAGAAAAGGCAATAATATGCCGTTGTGGTTGAGAAACAGAGCAAAACTGGTCGGTGGCCCAAGTCATTGCCTTTTCCTGCGTGGGGCACGTGGTGGAAATGCTGGCCAGTCCCTTGCCAGGCATCTCGCAGCCCGGGCGGCGCTGGGACCTGCAGGTTTTGCCCCTGGGGTGCCTTGCTCAGCTTGGCTGACCGGGTGCTTTCTCCCTGCCTTGTCAGCTGGCCTACCCTCACCGGGTGATCATCCTGAAGGCGATGGAGACTGTGGTGAAGAACAGCATTGCCCTCTTGGACAAAAGCACGGCAAAAGTGGTTATCTTTCTGGCGTCTAATGAAATGACCAAGTCAAAGGTATGACCTGAAAGCTCCTCTCCTCCCGTCGTCGTTCTTGGCCGGGCCCTTTCTGCCCCTGGTGCTGTCCTTGCAGTAAATGCTGGGGGTCTGGGGCTGCCCCAGTAGCGATTACTGGGACCCCTTTCGTGGAAGGGAAGGACCAATTACATTACGTGCGGTCTTCTGGGCTTGGGACGGTGGAGGGAGTAGGGGATGGGCTATGTTCCTCTCTCTTGGGGGCGATGAGGATGCTTTGGCTGATGGTTTTCTTCCAGCACGGCATGCATACACAGCTAAACAAAATTTGGATGCTGAAAAGGACCTGGACAGGCAGGGGGGTGTTAGAGCAGGAAGGAGGCAGCGCCTTGAGAGGCCGCAGGTCCATACGGGGAAAAGATGACCTCTGAATCTTGAGCCCGTTGTTTAGCTTACGCTGTGCGATTCCCCACGGTGTTTGGAGCCGGGCGTGACGCATGGCATTTAAATGAAGCAGCAGCAGACTCCCGGGGAGGCCACGTGTCTGACGCAGTGTCTGTTCTGACACGGTTTTCTCCGTCCATGGCAGGAGGTGGTCCAGGACTGGCAGCAAGCCGCCAGCAACGTCCTGGTTGCAGTGGGACAGCGTTTCATCAACAAGGTGATGGAGGAGGTGCTGACCAAATTTCAGCCGGGGATCCTGCCGCACTACTTCGTCATGCAGACATTTGCAAACCTCTCTGTGTCGAACGGTGAGTTGGCAACCTGCCGCCTCTGTGTGCGACTCCTGGTCTGTGTCGGAAAAAGCCATGGAAGCGTTGTGTGCTTCGGGCGTTGTGGTTCACGCCGTACCTGAATCGCTCTGCGGTGGGGTACCTCTGTGGCGACGTGTGTGCCGAGCTGGCCAGCGCGCTTCTCGGGATCTTGCAGCTTAGACTTGATGCTGCTCAACAGCTGAGGTGTTGGCTCTGCAAAATAACTTAGCGATGAAATGCACTGAGAAAACACTGAACACCGGTATGGCGAGGAGGAGTGCGATCCACGTGCGCGACTTCCTTGTGGTGTCTTTTATTCAGAAAAGACGGGGCACAAGAAGAGGAAGGCCAGTGCTGCGAGGAGCGGGCGTTGGGAGGAGATTTGGAAAACTCTGTTTCTTCTTGGCTTCTCTTCAGGAGGAGCTGCTGGGACTCGGTCCCCAGCGCTGAGCCGGGGAGCTGAGGGCAGCCCCTTGTCTAGGGGTGACGGGGGAGCAGGGGTGGGCGGCGTCAGCAGTCTTGGCTCATCTTGCAGCAGCCTGAGCAGAGCTCCTGCCACCGTGCTGCTCCGGGACCTGGCAGGCTCTGGAAGCGGGGAGGTTTGCTCGGTGCCCTGCGGAAAAAGCCAGGATGGAGGCCTCAGCTCTGCCCTGGGATGCTGGTACTTGTCGGTGTCTCTCCGCAGGAGCTGGAGGAAGCGTTCCTCGTGGGGATGGAGGGGTGCGGTGCTCCGTGTCTGGCTGGGCAGAGGTTGCTGGGACCCCGTGGGCACCTGGCACGTGCCTGGCAATGCCCAGGGAAGCTGAGTCCCTGTAAAAGTACACTGAACTTAGAAATCCCCTGCAGCTCGGCATCACAGCTCAGCTGAGCTCTTTAAAATGTGGGCTACTTACAAACGGCGGGAATTGGAGCTGCCTGGCCCTCGTCCGTACAGAATTCCCTGCTGGGCTCTTGTCTCCAGCCACCTCAGAAAAACCAAGTTTAAAAATTATAATTCTAGGATGAGACTTCTGAAAAGAAGTCTGGCTGCAGAGAGATGCGCTGATGCCAACAGCACGTGGGACGTAGCCCAGAGCTCACCGGCTTTGAGAAACAGTTGTGAACTTCAGGGCTCGGAGGACTGCGAGCTGCTGCCGCACTAGAGCCGTCTCTGCCGTGTGCTGGGGTGGCCAGCTCCCGCCTGCGGCTGTCGGCATCGCTTCCGTGGCAAAACCGGGCTCCTGGCTGCGGCGAGCCAGGGTTTTTTGGGTGTCTGTGCAATCCTGCTGGGTCTGTGTCCGGCGTAGGCTGGGGCAGCTGCAGAGCGGCACGTGTGTGTTTGCTGTAAGTGAGCTTCTCCTGCTTCCTTCCCAGTGTTCGGAATGGTGCCTTTTCTCAACTCCATCCTCGGGACGATGCTGCCCATGCTGGGAATGGCCAAACAGGACCACATGAAGGCTGTCTTCTGCTACGGTAAGGTTTTTCTGGATCTTCTGAGACGGCAGTGATTTTAGATGTGTTGCGGGAGACTTTTTTCCTTTCCCTGGAAAAGGAGGGAGTGTGGATGGGGGCTGGAGAGCTGGCTCAGATGGACCTGTCCTGACTGTCTGGGAGCAGGGACCTGGCTGGATCTGGGGAGGGATGGATAGCCGGCAGCTCTAGGTCACTGGGATCCAGCAAAAGTCCTTCTCCATCTCCTGTCTGATCCCTGTTGCTCCCATTTCGTAGCCCAGTCAGTACCGGTGCCCATTGCATTCTCCTCTGGCAAAGGTCACGTGGATGCTCCTGAGCTGTCCCGACTCAGGTGGAGGTGACCGGCCCCGTGGGATGGGGAAGGAAGGAGGGATCTGCTACTTGAGACCCTCTTACAAACCAGGCTGTCCCTTTGTTAAGACCATGAACCTGGCACCTTGCGACAGCACAAGCGTTAGCTTGGAATTGTAGGTAGGAATTGTGAGGAGGCCGGGATGCAGCGTCGGTGCCAGGCCAGCTCTCCTCCAAACCACTTCTGTAATTCTGAGAAGCCGGTTTCAGGACGTGACACTTTTGGTGGGTTGGCAGGATGTCACGGGGCTCCCTTCTCGTGACAGCCCCCTCAGCCGTGGGCTCGCTGAAAGCCACCGCTTGCGCGGCAGGATTTGATGCAGAAGTACCGGCGCTTACACCACGGACAAACAGCCCACGTGGTTGTTCCCCGATCTCTAGCCGGAGCTGATCCACCGTCACCTGGACACGGTGGCCTGGCGTGGCGTGGATCCGAGCCTGAGTTGCTTTGTGTTTGTTCACCAGCGAGATGCTCTCCCGAGCACGGGGAGGTAGCGTCGGTGTCTCAGACCGCAGGATGGTGCGCAGCCCCCAGTGAGCATGACGTGAGAGCCTTAATGACATCCCACAGAGGATCCTGAGGGTTTGTGGGGTTTTCTTCTGTAGCTGGGCAAAAGTAAAAGGTGGGCTGGGAGAAGTGCAGGTTCAAGGGCTCTGACAGATGCTGTGGGAGCTGCTGGAGCACAGCGCTGGTGCAGTCGCTCTTATCTCGTGCTGATCCTTACGTCCAAGGCCTGGGAATGCTGATGGGGCTCTGTGCGTCAAGGAGTGAATGGGATGAGTGGGAGCCTCCCGAGCAGCCCTGTAAACTGCGGGGATGGATGTAGGTCTACGTTCAGCAGCATTTCATTTCTCCTGGGAGCAATGAGGTTTGTGTCCAAACTCGTTCCTGGAATCCGCTGCGGGCTGGTAACGGTTTTACGCTGTCAGATGTGAAGGGCTGCTTCGACCTGAGGAGCTCTCGTCCTGTTATGTTGAGCTCAAAGCAAGAACGTGCAACTCTCAAGCTGTTCCTGTACAGGCGCGTTCTCAGAAAGCCAAAGCCAAGGTCAGGCAATCTCTGTGACTACGAAGCATCCTCCTTCCGTCGAGTACAACCAAACCCCGAGCTGGTTTAGCCATGGAGCTTGTTGGTGTTGGCAGCTCAGGTAGTTTGGGCTGGCTGCGGGCCATCGCCGATAGCGACCTACGTGTTTATAGGCGGGAGGTCTGCTCCTCTCCCCGCCCGAGACGGCTTATCAGCCGTGCCTGGCCCTGCGGAGCAGGGGTCCTTCTGCTCGGGCGCGGTGGGGAGGAGCAGCGTGGCCCGTGGGGCTGGTAAAACTTGGTGCTGAGGTTCCAGCGGCCCTTTCTGGAGCAGCCATCTGCCATCAGCAGCTCTTTCTCCTTCGTCACTTCCAGCAATCCCTTCTTTCGGCTTTCTGCTCCTCGCGTTCCCTGCTCGGTCCTCGGAGATGCAACGTCCTGGCTCCACACGTGTTCCTCCCAAAATGACCCTGTAGCTGCTGCCGCTGAGGCCCGATCGGTTTGTTGCTCTTGCAGAGTATTTGTGACCTCTTAACTTGTAGCCCAAAGCATGTGAAGGCTCCAAAGCGCGGCTGGCGCAGGGGGATGAGCATCTTTGAGCAGCCCCATGTGGGTCTGGAGCAGGTCCTGCCCCATCCCAAAACCCCTGCCTGCGCATGGTCAGCCCCTCATGACCGCTCGTGTCCGCTGCTGACCTCGGAGCGTGCAGAAAACTGGACTGAGGGCTTGGGCACGGGCAGAGGTGCCTCCCCGGACCTTCCCGAAAGCACTGGGAGGCCACAGTGTAGGTACTGGGATACCAGGAGGGGATGTCCCCTCTCCGGCAGCTGCCTGCTGCCAGCAAAACTTGGAAGACGTCGCCAGCCGTTGAGCTGGATTTCTGGCTCTGTATGGTTTCTGTATAACGTTTTTGCTGAAGTTTTCCACAGTGGAAAGGCAGACGAGGTCACTCTGAAGTCAGCACAGCCATGCAATGCCGGCAGATCTTTTCAGGGTGACTTTGCCGTGCCAGGGTGGCCCAGTGCAGGGGGACAGTGGCAGGGAGGTACCGGGCTACAGGATGGTTATATGGAGCTTGATCGGGGCTGAAGGCCGGGATGGAGGGATGGATGTGGGGATGTGATCCGGGCTTTATCGCTCCAGAGGAGTTGGCAAGGTCCCGCTTTCTGACTTGGGCATGGTGCTGCCCTCAGCAGCCCCGCTGTAGGGAAGGGAATGAGCTTCCCAGCTGTGCCCTAAAACCTTGCTGGCTGGAGCAGGCATTGCCCCCGGGCTCCTGGCTACAAGCTTTTTTAGAAAAAAAAGACCAAAAAAAGTAAAGCTGGGCATAACGTTGCCCGTTGCCCTCACATCCACCTGGCTTTAAGCTGGGGGAGGACTTTTAGGTGATGGTTTTGGTTAGACATGAGCGCCTTTGTCAAGACAAACTTCTCGCAGAAACTTTAGGAGAGCTCAGCCCAAACAAGGGTGTTTTGGCTCCAGCCTGGAGATGGAGTGAAAATGGAGTCTAGATGGGGTCTAGGTTTTGTTCCCTGCTCCAGCAAGGTGCTGGGGGATGAGCTGGGGACCTTCCTGACCCCCTCCGAGGTGGGTATCGATGGGACTCCAGTTTCTGCCCAAAGAGCCAGACCCTCCCTGCTGCGGGTGCGTTCCGGCAGTGTGAGCTCAGCTTTGCAGCGTTGGACCCTTCTGCGGCACAGGGATGTCCCTTCCGAACCCGTCCCATCTCTGTGAGCCGTGGGGAGCAGGTTGGGGGGTTCCTGGCCCCCCGTTAAGGACAGCAGAAGAGCGGGGCTCAGCCCTGAGGGTGACGATGATCTCTTCTAGCAGGCAGGGCAGTGCTTGCAGTCCTCCTTGCGTGCCGCCGGCTGGGTCGCAGCGAGGGTGAGGAGGCATGTGATTGAAATGATCTGGGTTTGGTATGAGGTCGTGGAGTGACTCAGCATCTCTGATCCAGTCGGGCTGAAAATAAACGTCTGCCGCAGGCAAGGAGGGAGCAGAGGCTGTGCCACCCCTGCCGCGTCAACCTCACAGGGTCTTGAGCTCGTTCCTGGGACCCCCCTCTCCTCCTCCTCCTCCTCCTCCTGCTGCGAGAACCTGCTTCCACCTCTCAGTGTGATAACGTGGGCGCATCGAGCTTGTGCTCGGAGAGCTGGCGTGCCCTCGAGTCATCTCGCATCCTCAGGGGTTATGTTGGTCTCTCCGTCCCACAGGCACGAGGGCTCGGGTATGACCGGGCTCCGTCATCCCCAGCTGATGGCGTGGGCACCGGGCAGTGGTTGTGCCAGAAGCGCCGTGCTCCTCCATCACATCTGGCTGCGATGTGGGGCCAGCCGCTTGTTTCATTCAGTCTTCCATCTTCTGCCGCTATCTTACTGCGGGAAACCTCCTCCCCAGCGTACCAGGGCGTTGTGGATTTTTTTTTCTTCACCCCGTTACTGTGGGACATGGCTTGTGAGGTCTCTGTCCCTGGAGGAGCTGAGATGGCGACTTGCGGGCAGGAGCGGGGCTGCCGTGCCCGGGAAGGGACGGCTCAGCCCCGTGGGTATCCCGCAGGCACAGCAGCCCCTTCCCTGGGATGCTGCTGTGGGATCATCCGCAGGAACCGTCCTTCTCTGGCAGGAGAGGGACCGATGAGCTCCTCCTGGGCAGGCTGCTCCGGGGTGGCCCTGATTGAGCCGGGTGAGCTCCGGGGATGCCTCCACGCTTGAGCAGGCTGCGATCCTTCTCCTCTCCCTTTGCTTCAGCCTCACCCCTCGTGGGTCCCGCTCTGGGGCTCGGTGGTGATGCCGGCAGCCAGGGCTCTGGACCTGACCGAGTCGGTGGCACACACTGGCCCCACAAGCCCCAGGTTGCTTCCTTCGTTAAGAGATTGCTAGCGAAGGGTGAGGAAGCTAGAAGAGCCTCGCTGTGCATTAATGGATTAAGGAAGGGAGCACAAGCGTGTCCCTGGCTGCACGTGGAGGGAAGGCAGGGTCCGTGCACGTGGGCTCCGGTGCCTGGGGGTCCTGGGGAGGGGGCTGGAAGGAGCCGAGGGCTGGGGGTGTGGGTCGGACGGGGTGGCCAGGCAGGGCTTGCAGCCAGCGGTGCCTCCCAGGGCTGCCTGCG